TGCTATACTAGCCTTGTAATCTTCATTTTCATTAAATAAGCTATTGCTAAAATAGCAAGACCTAAAACTAATGTTATTATACTGAAAGTGCCCATTGTCAATCAATATCAAACCAGGATAGAATAAAGTCATAATCAGAGAAGCGCTTGTAATTATTTCATTACTTTCTGCATTTTTTCCATTAGAATACAAGCAATTAAATATCTTAAAAAAATATGTAATTGCTGGTATAAAATCAACAAATCAGCAACTAGAACTGTGTGTCTCATAAATAGTTTATGTTGACCGTCTTCCAATCCTCGAGATGAATGCATTTGATATAATTTTATTGATATAAGATGCAATTTTTCCACACAGAAAACTATGATAAGCAGTCAATGGAGGGTAATCAAGGCCCCAATATAACAAATCGTTATCAGTAGAATTCTCATACCATTCTTGAACTTGCAAATTTACTGTTATTTCTTGCCAGTGTCTTTGTGCTTCAAAATCCCCATGTAAGGGGGGTGTTTTGGCCTGAATAACCATGTAAAGAAGTAGCAGCTCTTAATAAAGAGCTACACTTATAATAATAATTTCGTCAATAAACTCATGGTTTAAAGCCACATAAACAAATATGTTATCTTTCAATGCATTTCTATATATAAATAAATATATTCCCACGTCATCAGAAAAAACTGATGCATATCAATTTTAGGTTAAAACAAAATAAATTGATAGTTGTACTTACAACATGCTCAGCCTGTAGTTGGGTTTTTAATTTTTCTTTCCAATATTGTTTAGTATACGACATAATACGAACACTAAAACTGCACTGAGAACTAAAAAAACTGATTTAAATTCAAGAATTTAAATATATGTATTCATTTAAATTGCAAATACAAAAACGAGGATAAAAATAACGGGCAATGATATATGAAGTTTGATAATAGGACGGCTGTGGTAACATAAAAATAAGTCCATGTTTAGGTGCAAATTTTTATTTCGTGCGGTTAATATTCGGTATTCGGTTTTTGAAACTTGCCGAATATTCGGTATTCGGCATTTTGCCGAATATACTATTCGTTGCAAGCCTAATTATTATATTTGTAAATATTAAGTAATATTTTTATATTTTAGTAATAGAAATGTAAAATAACATGCAATTTTTAAATAAATTTTTGAAATGTAAAATTGACGTTATGATAGATATTAGAATTTGTAGAGACAAGTGTGCAAAAACAACAAAAATGAGTGAATGTCAAAATTTTAAATGAATTGAACTCAAGTATTGAACAAAATTTAAGGTGAGAAATACATATTTTAATATATACAGATTTTAAAAAAAGTTAGCCATCGCTTAGGGATTTTTATTAGACCCTCAGAGCCCTTACTATATATTTGCCATTTTTCGTTTTTGACATATCATATAACATAACCTTTGCTCGTAGATAGTGTTTAATTTAATTAGACAAATAGAATGTTTAGTTTTATTAAATGATTAATAATTTAATTATTTTACTTATATATGTATAGGTAGTTTCTAATTCATTTATTATCATTTCAAATCATTTTCAGTTTATGAATAAATTTGTTTTATTCTTTAGGTGCAGTTATATCATCTCATTTAGTAATTATCATTCAAAATAGAGCATTCGATACTTTGGCTTGTCGCTTACACAGCGGCTAGCTTATTATTTTACATAATAGTTTCAATATGGAACCCCAAAAAACCACTGCTAAGAACCTTGAAGAACGCGAAAAGGGTGCTCATTGTTACAGCACACCCAGATGATGAAAGTATGTTTTTTGGACCAACGGTTCTACAATTTAATAAAATGGGATGTGAAATATATTTAGTCTGTCTTTCTACTGGTAATTATAATGCAAATAAATATAATCCGTTTTATGTTATTTCCATTATTATCATTACATCATTGATTACGCATGTCATTAATCATATCTAAAAAATATTTCTGTATGTTTACTTCAGGAATTTAATTTACTTTAGGAAATCATTCAGACTTAGGTAAAACTAGAAAATATGAACTATATGAGGCTTGTAAAGTATTAGGCATATCGGAAGATAGAATAACTATACATAATGACCAATTTTTACCTGACAATCCAAATGTGATGTGGAAAGAAGATTTAATCGGATCTATTATTATGAATTATGTACAAAGTTTAAATGTTGATACTTTAGTTTCATTTGACAAACAGGGTATTAGTCAACATCCGAATCACAAAGCTATTTATTACGCCATTGCCTATTTGGTTATGGAGAACCAATTACCAAGTTGTAAGTAAAATTAGTTTTTGTAGTAGTATTTTTAATAAATATTAATTCTTGTATTTTATTTTAATTACTTTGTCCTTTGAATTCAAACTATTTTAGGAATAATTAAATTAAATTGTTTTACAGATTGCAGAGCTTATACATTAGAAACGGTTAATATATTTCGAAAATATTCACTGTTTTTAGATATACCTATTAGTTTTTTATCATCTTCTTACTGGTAAGTTTCATTAAATATTATTTACACAACTGAATTTATTTTTAATAATATCGACAATATTTTATGGTTTTTATTGATTTGTATTTTTTCCTCAATAATCTATAAACACAAATAATTAACTTACTAATAATGTACAAGTTTGTTAATTACATATGATATATAAGTGGGCAAATTTCATAAAAAAATCAACATGTGCATAATTTATATGAAAAATATCTTCAACTCAATTATTCTTTTTTTTTTTCATTTATTCATCTTTTTATTATTCATTTAGATGTATGTTTTTTTAATTAATTTAGTTGACAAAAAGACAAATTTTGCCAATACACAATTTTATTTTTGATATTAATCTTATGAAAATATATATCGATGCTTTTCTGACGCAACCTCGTAACTCGATTTTTGACGATTTTGAGTTTTAATCGGAAAATCAATCACTAAATATAGACGCATAGATCTGTGAAGTTTTGTAAAAAAAAAATCAACCGAACGATTTTTATTGAGAAAAATACAATCACGTATCTCAATTCAGAAAAATGTGCCATGCGCAACCTCGTATCTCAGAATACATGGTGGCGTATATAAACAAGTTTCGCTGTCAGCAATGTTGTTTAGTTCAATCTTTCTAATAAAAATTATTATTCAATTAAGTTAATTGTTATTTAAACTTAATGAACGATAGTTAATAAATATATTTATTATTTACTTACCGCAAGTTATAGTAATTTTCCGAAAATTGAAAATGAAACTTTTTGCATATTTAACGTTTCAGAGGTTTCTGAATATCTTGACATACCTTAATAAAATGGATGTATGTGTTTGTGTGCGTGTGTGTGTGTGGATATAATTTTTTGTCCACGTTTTCGGGAGCACAGATCAACCGATTTGAAACATTCAAAAACAATCGTTTCCTATTGAGAACAGAGCATCCGATTTGAATTATTTAAAAATATTCAATTTGTATTGATGACGTGGTGATTAGTTTCTGGAAAAGACAGGCCCAGTCGTTTCAAAGCTTCCGATCCGAATGATTCAATGAACATTTTGCAGTATAAAGAATCGATTAGTTTAGGAAAGCAGAATTTTTTGTCCATTTTTTTAAATTTACAATTATTTCTTTGTTTAAATATGAAAAATGATTCGGATTTTAATTTTAATGCTAGCTAAAATTCTAAAACTCTCTTATATACTTCAAATAAATAAATTTAAATTTGCAAATTAGTTTATATAATTCTTAGAAATATATATGAGATATGTTTTTTTTTACTTTTATTTACTTTTTATGTAAACATATATAAACGTCGTTGTCCAGTTTATTCTTATATTTTGTCATTCAAATAAAAATAACAAAAGTTATAGTACGTACAATAATATATTTGTAATCATTTATTATTCCTCGATTCTATTTAATTACGGAACGGAAAGTTCCACCAATTTGCTTAAAGGCACGATGCCATGCACCACTAGTTATATTTTTATTATGTTGAGAACAAATATCACAGTAAGCTACAAAAATTAAACAATTATCAATTCTTACTGACAATAAATGAAATTAAATTTTGTATTTTTTAGAGTTAGATAATGTGTCATCCGCAGATAAAAAATCATTAAATAAAGAAATAATAACAAAAAAGAATAAAAGTAACAATAAAAATGATAATCACAAAGTAGTAAATTATAAATCCATGAAAGAGCTAAATATCCTAGATATTGAAATACCTAAACTATGGCCAGATACTGTCGTAATTATAAACTAACATATACCACAAGTTTAATAATGTTTGTTTTTTTTATTAAGAATTATTTAAAAAGTTGATCGATTCTCAAAATAAAACAATTGAAGAAAGTTATTCATGTACTCTTATTTGAAAACAGCATGACGCAACCACGTATGTTACATTTTTTTCCGTGCGACAAACACGTATCTCAAAGAATTGAAGAAAAAATAATGATTAATTGTTTGTAATATCATACTTGTCTCAAATAATTGTCACAAGATTGAATGTTTTTAAAAATTATAAAAAAAATTGTTAACAGCAGTTCAAAAATTCGTTATAAAACGTTTTTTGTCTCTCCTGAAAAGTAGTAGTTTCTGAGATACGAGGTTGCGTCAGAAAAGCATCGATATCCACTTTTTTACTTTGAAGTTATAAAATTTTGACTTTTTTATAAACTTTTATATTTATATTGTACATTTTCTGTGTTTTAGGTCAATATTAAATTGGAAAGAAAGAAAAAGAATTCAAAAAGCAATGAAAGAACATAATTCTCAGATGGTCTGGTTTAGATCATTGTACATCACGTTTTCTCGCTATATGCTTGTGAACACCTTGGAAGAAATTACTTTCCATAATGCACTAAATAATTTATCACAAGAAGAGGATAAAGAAAATTAATTTATATACCCAAATAACAAATTCAATTTGTGCCATTATTGTACCAAAGCTTTAATAATTACAGTTTTATAATTAATTATCTATGCTTATTATTATATTTAAATTGATCTCTTTTTTACAAACTAAAATAAGATATTTTAATGTTGTTAATTGAAACATAAGTAAACCATAACAAGATCAATCAAATATTTTATATTTGTTGTATGGGAGTTTTTTCCTTTTTCAATACTGAATTCAGGTCTCGTAAAGATCTAAATTTCAATCATTTTTAAGCATAATATATGAACGTAAGGAAATTGGTTTGGAGTAAGAATAATGCAAGTGATTAACAATTTGCATGAGTAAAAGTAACATGCAGTTATTACTTGAGGTACCTAATATAGGATAATTTTAATAAGATGACGATACGTGCTGGATTGGCCATGGCAGTACTGCATTTTTATAGAACCGGAATTTGTCCCGGATTAGGTTTTTTGTCCTTGATTTTCCCAAAATTTTGGAATATGTAGTTCTTATTTTCAACGTTAATTATAAATACATTTTAACTTAACAATTAGTACAAAAGTTATTAGTTAAGTTACAAAATTTAAACGAAACATTACTTAAATTATGTCCAGAACTTAAGACAATCGAGAGGGAGAAAACAGCTCAGAAGAAAATGTGTTTATAAAAGAATATATTTAAAAAATAACATTCTCTCCCATATTTTTTCTCAGATTTAAAATAAGAAAAGGTCACATTAATAGAAAAATTACTATGTAAAATACATATGGTAAACGAGAGAGAAGAAAAGGAAAGAAAAGGATGCTTGTGCTTTGGCATCATGGACCTATTTTCGAACATATTTGAAATACCACATTATAATTATGCGTAGACAATATAATAATATTGTCTATGATAGATATGTATCTTTACTTTATAAATCATATAATGCATACAATCTAAGTAAATATGAAAAATATTGTCACAGTTTGAATAAATTAACTAAACTCAATAAGGTTGATTTCAGGCTTTAGTTTATGTTCAGTTTTATCTGCAAAATCAGTAGGAATTTCGCATGTTGATTGATATATAGCATTAACACTGACGCTGTTATCAGAATCATCTTCATCATCTGATATATAGAATTTTGAACCATGTTTTGTGACCTGGCATCCATGTGCTTTTCTGCGTAATGGCGGCAGGGGCCTATTTTCATTCAGCCTGCTGTCACTTTTTGTTCTATGGAGTTCGTTAACCAGTAACCGTGCTCTGAGAAGTTTCGGCGATTTACTTCTCCTTGGCGGATGTGGTATTACTGTTAAGAAATCCATTTGTGGTGTCTCATTACCTTTATCGTGTGTATCAAATGGGTTAGTTTTACCCCCATCTATTGATCTCGGTCTTTCAGTTCTTATCAAAGGGGTAGGAATACTTCTTGGTGTTGCGGTGAGTTTATTATGGTGTTTATCATTTAAGCTCTTTTGATTATCTCCTCCTGAATTCAAGCTTTCATATAATTCCCAAGAACTGCGGGTAAGTTCTCTTGTAGGACTACTTAATAAAGATTCCGCGTCTTTTGATATATAGCAACGGAATCCTGATTGAGAATGTGGATTGTTGGGATTTGTGCAACTCTCGCTGCGGGATGATTGAAAATAATCCTTGAGGGTATGCAGGCTAATACGTTTCTGTAAGGTAAGTAGTTGCATTCTCCAATATTCATAAGACGAAGTTTTTAGTAACTCAACCCATTCAAGAATATATTCTTCTGATGTCCCAGAAAATATATGTTTTTCGTCCCAATTATCCTGAAATGTAATTGAAAACGCGAAATTCGTGTCATTTTGTTCTTCTAACTCTACATGACAACCTTCCAACACCATTATGCCAATAGGCTCTTTGCTATCAATTTCACCGGTTTCATTAATTTTAAAATAATATAACAAATTTGATTTTAATTTAAACCATTTTTCAACACAATCGGTTTCATTCGTTTCATTCAACGGTCCACTATAATTTAATTTTCCTTCTAAATTACATTTTAATTCACTTATTTCTGCAATTTCTTTATCGTTAAACTTCATATTTAAAAACAAAATGTATTTTCGTACTCAAAACGAATAACTTACATGAAGACTACATATAAAGGAATGAAAATAAATAGAATTTCCATTATGAAGTCTTATGATGAATATTGTTTACTAAAAAAATTAGTTCTATTGGTGTTAATGGACTGAACGAAGATTCATACATTCACTCGCTCTTTAATAATTGTTTGTATATAATAGAATAATTATAATCTATTAACACACTTTATTATTTTTAAAATGCATGTTACTTCAGTTTTGGATGCAAAGAGAAAAGTTTGATGTACAAATACGCCTCTTATGGAATTTAATTTGGACGTTAGTTACCAATTTACTGTGCAATCTACATGTAATACTAAAATTGATATAATTTCACATTAAATAATCATGGAGCCACATATTGCGTATGAAATAATTAGTGAGAGAACTAAATGTAAGTGGCATTCAGCATTGAGGCAATTGCCATTTGATACCTAACTATTATCATTTTTTTTTTGCGAAAACGGGCGAAAATTTTGCACTTATCGGTTAATTCGAAAAAAAACGGCAAGGCCGATCGTCTTGCAAAAATAATATACGTAACAGTATTTACCAAGTTTGTGAGTTGGCTTTTGGTGTAGCCGTTTTTGAGAAATCCTCGACGAAAGATCAAAATTTGGCTTATATACATGTATATACGTGTACATAGTGCACATTAGAGCGGGTCGATTTGTATGGGCCATTAAAAGTCGCTCAGGTACATATGATTTTCGAATACTGGGGATCAAAAGAAGACACTTTGCTGAAGAAACCATATCTCTAAAATGTATTTTGATGTCCTTTGCATTGACCCAAAAATAAGGATTGAAATATCGAATCCAAATGTATGACCGGTCCTCACTAACTTTGGAAGGCCGATTCAACCATGCCCATGGTTTTTACCCTCTGAGACTCCCCTGAGTGGTTTTTCAAAATTTACCTATTATCTTTGGGTCAATGCACGGGACATCAGAATTCATTTTAAAGGTATGGTTTCTTCAGCAAAGTATCTTATTTTGATCCCTGGCATCGGAAAATCATATGTGCCTAATAAAGTGACATTAAAAATCGACCCGCCCTAGTGCAAATACTATACACTATTTCCAATAATTTTCCGAAGGAGAAGTTTATGTTTTCACAAAAAAATCCTATTTGCCGTTTCTCAAAAACGGTTGGACCCAGTGGCGGAATAAGCTTTCTGCCGCCCTAGTCTCTATCTAATCAGGCGCCCTATCTTACCAGACAAAATTTTTCATTTTTATTTAAACAGTTTATTTTAAATTACTTAGATCAATTTTTAATTTTTCGTAAGGTGAGTTATGGCAATCGAAAAAGAAACCAGAATATTTTTTTGCGTATCTTCACGTTTCAAATTCTTCTGAACATACTGACCTTAAAGATGAAAATGATGTGTGTGTATAAATGTATGTTTAATAACCATTGATAAGAATGCGTTTTAATTAATTTTTGACAAAGACAGGTCCATTAGAAAACTGAAATAAATTCATAAAACCAGAATAAATCCTTAAAATGAATTATTGTTACATTTTATAGGGTTTAAAATTTTGACATTCTGAAAAATTTGCCGCCTTCAAAATTGTGCTGCCCTGGGCCCAGTCTTCCCGGGCCTATGGGTTAATCCAGCACTGGGTTGGACCGATTTTGAAAATTTAAAAGCCATTCGATGCACCTCGATAAGGACTATCGTTGGTCATTGTGCAACGATCGGCCGAGCAGTTTCTTTCTAATTAGCAGAAAAGTGTAAAAACTTTCGGCCACGTTCTAGCCCCCACAATTTTGATCCGATTTTAAATACTATTCGAAAGATATTGGTTGGAAATCGCGTTGATGGTAAAGATCGGCCGAACCGTTCCATAGTCTGAAATAACATAATAAAGTTTTATAGGTCTTCTATAAGTGGTTGAATTATAAAAATTCATCAAAGTGTAGAATTCCTTTGCGCACTCAAGGGGATTCCAATCAGAATCTATGCCGGAGCATAGATTCTGATTAGAATCTACGTCAGAACATAGATTCTGATTGGATGCACGTTTGTACGTTCTGTGGTTTTTCGCTGGTAGCTACTGATCACAGTTTACGTCTGCACTTAAATAAAATACATTTTCAGAATACGAAATGGATAAAATGAAATCAAATTAGTTTGATGTATACAATTGCAGATATTATAAATGATTATTTTTTAGTAAAAGCGAAAACTTTATTTTGGGAATAATAAGAATAAAATTTTTATCTAAATAGCTACTATAATTCTTGTTGATAAAGTCGCCTGAGGGGTAAAATGCTACTTACAACTAATTAAATAAATGTTAATAGTTTTATAATATTTAATATAACAACGTTTTTTTTAACTTGCCGTAGGGTAAGTTATTGTAATCGTCCAAAAATCGAAATTGAAAATTTTTACATTTCACGTTTCGAAGGTTTCTGAACATTTTGGCATACCTTAGAAAAAATTGATGTGTGTATGTATGTATGTATGGATACAATTTTTAGTCCAGGCAGGTCCAGCGGTTTCGGAGATACGGAGCAAAGAGTGCAGAAAATAGAAAACGAGTTTTTGAAAGAACGGAGCATCCGATTTGGATGATCCAAAAAACATTTATATCGTAATGACGGGGAAAAGTGGTGGTTAATTTTTGGCAAAGGCAGGTCTAGCTGTTTTGGAGATACCGAGCTAAATGTGCAAATAATTGCAGTTTTTGAGAAAACTAAGCATGCGATTTGAAAGATTCAAATAACTACCTGTTTGCGTTAACGAGACGATTGTTTTTGGGAGAAAAATTTTAATTTTCAAAAAAATGTTTTTTAATATTGAAAATAATTCGAATTTGAACTTTTACTAGCTAAAGCTCACTTTGTAATCAGTTTATATAATTTTTATAAATATGACAATGTTACAGTTATAAATAGGACAATGT